CTCGTTCCGAACGATCCTCTCGTTGATCCCGTCGACCAGGGGTTTTACCTTCTCGTCAAAAATTCCACGAATCGCCTGGAGAAGCTGAGCCTGATCTCCCATGGTGACTAGAGGAGGGTATGGTACCAGATCAGTGTAGATCCCCCCTTGATCCTCCTCCTCCTCCTCCTCCTCCTCCTCCTCACGTCTCCTCCTCCTCCTCCTCCTCCTCCTCTTCCTCCTCCTCCTCCGCCTTGAGCAGAGCCTATTTCAACCGCGTCCTCCTGACAGCACCGTGGTTGAAATCCCCGCCTCCTCCTCCTCTTTCTCATCCTCCTCCTCCTCGTCCTCCTCCTTCTTCTAAACCTCCTCATCCCCGTCCTCCTCCGCGCGAGAGGGCTCGCATGGAATGCCCCTGCGGGTTCGCTGATGCCGACAACCGTTGGAATTCCGACTTTTAGGTCGTACCCCCTAGGGGCCACAAGGGAGGTCCCTCCGCGCGAGCGGGCTCGCATGGAATGCCCCTGAGGGTCATTCCGTGCGAGCGGGCTCGCTGGTTCCGATAGCCGTTGGAATTCCAACTTTTAGGTGGGATCCCTTAGGGACCACAAGGGAAGCCCCTTCCGCGCGAGCGGGTTCGCATGGAATGCCCCTGAGGGTCATTCCGTGCGAGCGGGCTCGCTGGTGCCGATTAACGTTGGAATTCCAACTTTTAGGTGGGATCCCCCAGGGGCCACAGGGAAGTCCCTTCCGCGCGAGCGGGCTCGCATGGAATGCCCCTGAGGGTCATTCCGTTCGAGCGGGCTCGTTGGTGCCGATAGCCGTTGGAATTCCGACTTTTAGGTCGTACCCCTTAGGGGCCACAGGGGAGGTCCCTCCGCGCGAGCGGGCTCGCATGGAATGCCCCTGAGGGTCATTCCGTGCGAGCGAGCTCGCTGGTCCGATAGCCGTTGGAATTCCAACTTTTAGGTGGGACCCCCTAGGGGCCACAAGGGAAGCCCCTTCCGCGCGAGCGGGCTCGCATGGAATGCCCCTGAGGGTCATTCCGTGCGAGCGGGCTCGCTGGTGCCCATACCCTCTGGAATTCCAACTTTTAGGTGGGCCCCCCAGGGGCCACAGGGGAGGTCCCTTCCGCGCGAGCGGGCTCGCATGGAATGCACCTGAAGGGCATTCCGTTCGAGCGGGCTCGCTGGTGCCGGTAGCCGTTGGAATGCCAACGGCTAGGTGGGACCCCCTAGGGGTCACAGGGGAGGTCCCTTCCGCGCGAGCGGGCTCGCATGGAATGCCCCTGAGGGTCATTCCGTTCGAGCGGGCTCGGTTGTGCCGACAGCCGTTGGAATGTGTGTGTGTGTGTGACTGGGTGTGGGTGGTGTGTGTGTGGCCCGCGGCCGTCCAGAGAAAACAAGAACCCCACTTAGGATGTGGGGAACTAATTTGAAACGGTTGGCCAGGGCATCGCGGCTAGCTGGCTCACTCACGGATCGCGAGTCTATGTTCCCGCTCGTTTCACTCTGGTGTTCTGGCCATGTCGAACCACGCATGTGTTCCAGCGACCATGCCCAAGAATAATTCCACTTGCTTGCGATATCATCAGATCGTCGTGTTTGGGGGATCGTTTGTCTGCGAGCTGGTTGCTGGGACTCCGCGCCAGGTCCCGCTCCCACAAGAAGACTCTAAATATTTACTTATGGCGGTCCGTATCCACTTGTGACGTCCATCTCCGTTTTCTGTTTCGTTGGGTGGTGATCCAATCATCAATGTTCAACTTCTCCAAGACATGTTTTGTTTCATGCGTAGTCTGTTTGTGTTTGGTCCAGTCGACGCAAGGCTCGAGGTAGTCTTCTTCGCTCTTCTGGTCGTCGCCCATGGCTGCAGTTCCAAGTGCGCCGAAATCGTTCGAGGCAATACTTGACGTCGATGTGGGGGCCTGGTCTTGGCAACCCTGTCCGCTTGGATTTTCTCCGGCTGCCGCTTCCTGTCGTTGTCGACGAACACCCCAAACCATCCGCAACATTTGACGCCGTGCTTGCCGCAGCCGGTTTCCGGCTCGTTTGTGTGAATCGAAGACGTACAGCCATACAGAAAGATCGATGCAACCGCGCCATTGAACAAACGTATGCTGCCATGTAATGAGTAGGTACGGGTAGTAAGGTCATGTTTAAACGAGTGAAGCTTGAATGGGGTGAAATGCACGCCAGCCGGAGGATCTGTTCTCCACTTCGCTTGTGTGAAGGCCCTGGAAAATCACTTCTCTGTCAAACATACTTTTGCGAAACTCCGTGTGGTAATATTTCTAATTTCGTCCCAGGGTCGGACACGAACTCAGGCTCGGCTCGGGCTCGTCGATGGGATTGGTTATGCGAGATCTTTGTTTTCTCTGGGTGAACCTCGAGTCCAAACTTGGCGGCCTCGTCCCGTACTTCCCGCAACATGAGCTGACCTTGCGTCAAGCACGTCCCAGAAAGACACGCGTCGTCTGCGAACCGTAGATTCGTGAGCCGGGCGTCTGCTACACTTGAGCGGTCGCGCCTCACGCACCGGCGAAACGAACTGCACGCCGGAACCGCTCGATCTGGACCTTCCAGAACATAATTTTAAGCCACCCATTCGGATTACACCCTGCGAAATGCTTAAGAAATCATGGGTTAAATTCATAGTCTCAGAACTTGAGTAGAAGCCCAGAATTTCCATCGAAATCTTAGGATGTACATGGAAACATTAAGAATAATCGAGACTCTGGCCGAAAACTTGGGTTTTCTTAAGCATCGCCTAAGGTGTACCCTGACCAGACACCAGCGGGAAGACGAAGAGCCCTCGCCACACGGAGCGCGCGCGCGCAGGCGCCGAACGAGTGTGCGCCCGGGGCTACACGGGAGCACGTGCGGCGCACCGCTGTGCCACCTATGGCGGTCCTGAGAGAGAGAGAGAGAGGGGAGAGAGAGAGAGAGAGAGAGTGGGAGAGAGACCTCCTCTCACACCATATTTGGAGGCGCAAGGGCCCGCGCGCCTCCCCCGCCCGCTCGCCGCCCGCTTGCCGCTCGGCGCCCACCCTGCCTGCAGATTCGCCCCATGCCGGCGCAAGGGGGCACTGAGGCAAAGGAGAGGACTGGGAAGCGCACAGTGAATGAGGTTCTTGCTGCTGCTGAAGCTGCGGCCAAGAAGCAGGAACAGGCTGCCGCCAAGAGAGCCCAGACGATAGCGAGGCGCAAGGCGGAGCAGCAGACCTCCAACAAGCATGCGCTGGCGGCTGCGATGTCCAGGGGGGCGGGCGGAAACGCCAGCGAGGCCCGCCGCAAGGGTCAGAGACGGAAGGGCGAGGGAAGCCGGAGATGGGGCAGAGAATGTGAATCGGAGCGGAAGAAGGGGACTGTTGTTTGTTGCTCTGGGTCCGGGTTCTCCACGAGGCTTGTGATAAGCACAAATATCGCTTGGATTTTCATTGGCCACCCCTGGCTGGCAGCATTGCGGTGAGGAGGAGGAGGAGGAGGAGGAGGAGGAGGAGGAGGAGGAGTTCCCCTTTGTGAGGCCTCCTGAGAGACCCTCGTCACCACCGCTGGAGTCGCCTCGAAATCTTTGGTTAGAACGCACCCCGGGAGAGGTCCGGGGAGTAGCGGTGTGGGTATCTGTTGGTCCCCCCCCCGATGCCCGACGACGTTGACAGCGACGCAAAAGGCGAATCTCCGTCGATGCGAGCAAGCGTCGCCTCCCCCCTCCGAAGGGGTGCCTCATGTCGCGGGGGGGGAGGTTCCGCCCCCCCCCCTGGGCGCCAGGCAGGGCAGGCGATGGAGGAGATGCGGGGTCCGGGCGGCGCGAGCGCGAGCTGGATCGCAGTCACGGCGCTGACGTAAGGAGGCTCGGGTTGGGGGGGCCGTTCTTTCCTCGGCGCGAGCACGCACCAAAGCGCGCCTACCTACATTAAACGGGTGCGCCAGTAGCGCAGGCGGAATCATCCTGCAGTGATGCGTCAGTGCGGAAAAAGGGGGGGAGGCGAGGGAGGGAGGAAGGAGGACAGGGAAGGAGGGAGAGGCGAGGGACAAGAGAGACAGAGGAGAGGGAGGGAGGAGAGGGACGGAGGGAGGAGAGGGAGGGAGAGAGAGGAGACGGAGGAGAGGGAGAGGCGAAGAAGGGATGAATGATAAGGCAGGAGGACAGAGGCCAGCACGGTGACGAAGAGGAGGACGACGACGAGAAAAAAGGGGGAGAGGGGCGAGGACAACGATGTGATTTGGACTCGGATCAGGAACGAGCCCCTAGTGCAAATGAGGAAATCGAGGTCGCGGAGGACACCTCCTGACTGACAAGGAGTCCAGACTATCCTGAGAGCACACGACGAGCGCGAACATACCGCCTGGTGATCGTTCGGGCGTAGGCTCGGACCATGCTCTCGGCCGGACGAGGAGCACGAGGAGGAGGAGGACGAGGAGCGCGTGGGATCTCCTGGGGCCCCTGGGGCCATGTTTTGCGGCTCTCAATGGCTATGTTGAGCTCAGGTTGCTTTCTTGGAGGCCTCCTCGGATATCTTCGAGCCCTCGTAGGACACTCGTGGTCACTCGCCCTCCTGGGACCAGATTCAAGACATCTTCGGGGGCTCTAGGGGTAATATTTGACTACAGTGTGACCCTCTAGGCGTAATTCCGAGACAAGGTCGAACACCAGTCTGTGTTATAATGGTCTCAACGAAACGCGCAAACAATATGTACGCTTTCTTCTGTGGGGTGACCCCACCCCCCACAAGCCCGAAAGAAAAACCGGATCAAACAAGAACGGAAAGCGCAGATGCTTCCTCTGGGCTCGTGAAGCAACGCCTGGCCGAAAACGCTGAGCAACGCCAAAGGAACCGCGTACGGCCGACTAACACGACGGAGCATAGGTTGGATTGTGCATGTGTGTGCGCGTGTGCATGTGTATTATACGTTTGCCTTCCTGCCCGTCCTGGCCCACTCCTCATCCAAGACAACAAACCGTTCGATGGTACGCTTCAACGATAGATGCACAGAACATTGCAACAATCGCATTCCGTCCTCCTCGACTCTGGGTGGGCGTAGAAGCAGGTCGGCGAGGTACATTCAGCACCGAGCCTGCGCTGCGTGCAGTCACCACAAGCAGACAGAAGGACACGACTCGCGTACGTATGCAGCACGATTCGACAGAGGCTTGGGCGGCGGGGTTCGCAACTCGCCAGCCCTAATGCCCACACACGACACGCTGCACAGGGCAGACGTCACCAAGCAAACGTCGCCCTGTGGGTAGCTCCATGACACCAGTGAGCACCAATCTCACCTGCTTCGAGCTGATCTCCAGACGCGACAGAGGGACGACCACAAATTGGTGCGAGCCCTCGCGAAGCCGCAATCCACTTGCTAATTCCATGTCGTCCCAAGAACCGCTTAGGCCCTCTATGGGCCGTAAGAGGTGGCGCGTTTCCGCTTTCATGGATTTGGACTCTCTGGGAAACAGCTCGGGTGCCTCATGGAACAGCCTTGACCTAACTATTTGGGGATAAGTCTGAACCGATTTGAGCCATATTGAACTCTCTCTATATATATATCTATGTTGTTTCCTCCCTCTCTCTCTCTCTCTCTCTCTTGGGCTACATACAACTATCTTCGGCCGTCTTGATCTGGTCTGAGACCGTCTTGGGAGGCCTTGAGTTTTCTCAGGCCGTCTTGGGCTCCGCTTGACTCTCTGTGGGGGCTCTGGGTCTTTGGACCCTCGCAGGGTTCTCCTGCGACATTTTCGCACGCCTAGGGGGCTCCCCTAAAGTCTCTTGGAACTATCTAGAACAAGAACATCAAATACCCAGAAATTGCAAAGCCGTGTGGAGTTCTATTGATGTAAACTATTCCGAAGTCCTTCCAAGTCCCTCTTGTGGCCTCTCCGTCCCATGCTGGCATAATGTGAAGCTTCTGTGGCCGCCTTGGGCTCTCTAACAACTGTCTGATAGCGCTCTTCGAGCATCTTGGGGGGTGTCCTGGGCTGTCTCTGAGCCGCCTGAAGCCTTCTGAGGCCCTCCCACGGGCCGCCCAGACGGCTCCGGGCCTGCTCTGAAGGCGTCCGAGGGCTCTCTCCTCTGGAGGCCCGAACGTGCCCCCAGGGAGGCTTCGCCGAAGGTGTGGAGGCAAACGCGAGAAGGCTGGGCCTGTTTCGGAGCAGTCCCATTGCACAATGGTGCAGTCGCGGGCCGTTTTCGGACGTTGCTAAGTGCTGATGGGTGCCCCGAGGTCCTCCTGCGGTTGCCCGGAGCTGGAAAACTCTGAGCAACCTTCAGTAAGACTACCCCAGAAAAGAACCCCAACAGAAGTAGGTATCCTGGAATGTATGCATGCACTCCATGCCAGCCCCCTCGCTCCGTCTCTCTCTCTCTCTCTCTCTCTCCCACGGTCCCTGTTGTTCCCAACCATCCAATGGTGTTGGGTCTTCGTTTTGAAAAGACAGCGCCCCGCGTCCCCTCTCCTCCTCCCGCCCTCCTCCCCCTCCTCCCTTCTCCCGTCCCTGTCTCTGCCCTCCGCACGACTATTTCGGCACACCCCTCGCACGTTTCGTGGCCCCATACGGCGCTCCACCGAAGGCCCCAGTGGCAGGGTTCGCATGCGGTTCCGCCCCCCACATTAGAACACCCCTCACGCGCTTCGCGCCCCCATCGGGAGCTCCACCGAAGGCCCCGTTGGCAGGTTCCGCATGCGGTTCCACTCCCATTTCGGCACACCCCTCACACATTTCGTGCCCCCATATGGGGGCTCCACCGAAGGCCCCAGTGGCAGGGCTCGCATGCGGCTCCATGCCCATGTCGGCGCATCCCTCACACGCTTCGCGCCCACATGGGGAGATCCACCGACGGCCCCTGTGTCAGGGTTCGCATGTGGTTTCACCCCCCATTTCGGGACACCCCTCACAACTTTCATGCCCCCATGAAGCGGCTCCAATGAAGACCGCAGAAGCAGGGTTCGCATGCGGCTCCACTCCCATTCTAGCGCACCCTTCACACGTTTCGTGCCTCCACAGGGCGTTCCACCGGCGGCCCCAGTGGCAGGGTTCGCATGCCGTTCCACCGAGACACCCCTCACACGCTTCGCGCCCCCATAGGGAGCTCCACCGAAGGCATCGTTGGCAGGGTTCGCATGCGGCTCCACGCTCCGTGGCCCCACAAGAGGCTTCACCGAAGACGATGTGCACAGCCTTTGGGAGGCCTCCTGGGAGCGTGGAGAGCCGTCGGAAGGTTGTCTCGGCCTGCGCGGGAGCATGTTGGTCCGTTCTGTACGTTCTGGGGGCTCACTGGGGTCGTCTTGGGCTGTCCTTGGGCGTCTTGGGGCCCCCCCGGAAGCCGGGAGGCGCGGTACCGGCCAGATGTCAGGGACTGTGTCGGACCCCCGAGTAGGAGTCCCACTTAAAAAAAAAAAAGGAATTCTGGGAATTCTTTTTTTCCTAAGTGGGAAAACCATTGAAATCAACGATCTTACCATCGTTGGGCTCCCTCGGGACGACTCTCGCAGCTCTCTTGGGCTGTCGGGGTCTCTCTGGGGCCTCTCAGGGACCGGGGGTGTGTTGGGGGCCTCTAGGTGGTCCCGGAGGCCTCTCGGAGGTCTCTGGAAGCCTCCTGCTCCCGCTCTTGGGCCCATCTTGGGCATGTTCTGGGGTGGTCTGAGGCTGTCCTGGGCGCCTCTTCGGCAGTCTTGGAGCCTTCTTGGCCCGTCGTGGGGCCGTCCTGAGGGTCTCTTGGGTGGTCTTGGGGCGGTCTTGGGCGGCTCTTCGGAGCTGTTGGACCATTGGAAGCTTGAAAACGCCACAAGACCAAAAACATGGGCAAAAACCATACAACATCAACGATGTTGGCCTCTTCGGGCCGTCCCGGGACGCCTCTTGGACCTCTCTTGGGGTCTCTTGGAGGCCACCTGGGAGCCTCGAGAGCCGTCGGAAGGCTGACTTGGGCTGCTTGGGAGCGTCTTGGGCCATCCTTTCGCACTCTGGGGGCTCCTGGGAGGCGTCTTGGGCCCTCCTGGAGCGCTGTGGAAGCTCCCCGGAAAGGCCGGGGGAGCGGTACCGGGAGCGTTCTCGAGATGTCGCGGGGAGGTGTGGGACCCGGGGCCAGGGGGCGACGGTATTCATTTATACTATATACACACACGCATCTATGTATGATATGCGTATGTTTAGTATGTGGAATCTACATTGGCATCGTTGCAGCGCTTACTGTATAGAGGGTACGCCTCGTAACCGATCCATGTTCATAATTCCTTACATCCAAAGTAGGATTATTGTATTATCCGCGCACCCCCCGTGCAGGAACCTCACACCTTACCCCCTTTCCTCTTACTCATTTACCCAATCACTCACACCATCATCATCAGTCCCACGCGCACACACACTCACTCACAGTAAATCATCACTCACTCGTCATCACACTCATTCGACCACTTTCATTCATTTCACTCAGAACTAGCCCTTCTCACTCATCATCATTCGCATCACAGCACAATCGTTTAGTTTTCCACATCCAAAGTGTGGTTCTTGTTTTCTCTAGACACCCCGCGCAGAAACAACAGAACACACCCTCCCCTCTTCTCTAATCGCACACTCATTCACCCAATCACTCACACACATCAAAGGACACACTTACTCATTCACCAACTCACTCACCCACTCACACACTCACAGACACACACTCACTCGCCCATTCGCTCACCCACTCACACACGCACACACACACATCATCACCACTCACTCATGCACTCACTTACCCACTCAATCACCCACCTTCACGCCCACTCACTGACTCATTCACACTCTCATCATCATCAGCATCATCATAATCATCATCAGCATCATCATCAACATCATCAATCCATCATCATCATCATCAGCATCATCATCATCGCCATCATCATCAGCATCAGCATCAGCATCATCATCATCATCATCATCATCATCATCACCACCATAGTCATCAGCAACAGGAGCCCCTCCCTATGGGGCCCGCACTTCATGTTGGTAATCCGAGCGGGTCATCGGCCTCCCGCAACTGTCGTCACTTTTGGGCTCCTCAGGCTTGAATTTGGAGGAAGTCTCAGGCGGGAGCCTCGTCTGCGAGTGAACTGCGAGGAAGTCTCAAACGGGAACCCCTCCCTCTGGGGCCCGCACCTCATGTTGGCGATCCGAACGGGCCATCGGCCTCCTGCCACCGTCGTCATGTTTCGGCTCTCCGTGCCTGATTTGTTGGAGGATGTCTCGGGCGGGAGCCTCGTCTGCGAGCGAATTGCGAGGGAGTCTCAGGCGGGATTCCCCTCCTTATGGGGCCCGCAGCTCATATGAGCTATGAGCATATCCGAGCGGGCCATCGGCCTCTGAGGCCTCAGCATGGGGGAGCGGGAGCCTCGTCTGCGAGTGCATTGCGAGGAAGTCTCGGGCGGGAGCCCCCTCCCTATAAGGCCCGCGGCCCGTAGAGAGTAATCCGAGCGGGTCCTCGGAAACCCGAGGATGTCTCGAGCGACTGGCCCACTGGCGCGTCCCCTGGCGCGTCCCCTGCGACGTTCTGGCGCGGCGTGCCCTGGCACGTCCCCTAGCACGCCTCTCGGCGTGGCACCTTCCCTGGCTCGTCCTCTGTCGCGCTTCCTGGCTCGTTCCAGGCGTCCCCTGCGCGTTCCATGGCGCACCCCTTACATGGTCCGTTGGCATAACGTCCTCTGGCCGCCCCATGGCACGCGCCTTGGCACGTCCCGTGGCAGGTCCCTGACACGTCCAGGGCACGTCCCCTGATACGTCCCCTGACACGCCCCCTGGCGCGTCCCCTATTGCACCCCTGGCACATCCTGTTGCGCGTCCGTGAGCCTGTGCCCCGTGTGGTGTCGTTCCTTTTCGGAGCTGAGTCGGATGTTGAAGTCGAGTTGGTTGAACGTCCAGCTACTATGTGTTCTGGCAGCTCGAGCTTAAGATCCAGTTCAGTTCGGTCAGGGCTCGGATGCAAAGGAGGACTCGATTCACAACGTTATAGGGCATAATTCGCAATTCAGCACGGCGCAGCACAGCACAACCCTTGGCACGATACGTCGACATCGATACACTCAACATTGCAATTGCCCGTCGT